ATGTGTCTTAGATTCTTGTGCTCTGGGCTGGGGCTGAAAATTTGCATTTCTTTCTTTCTTTTTTTCAATACATATTTTTTAAGTTTATTTCCTTTCCCATGAGCAACAGAGACACAGAGAGAGCACCAGAGAGACTGCACCTCAACAAGGTCTGGGTGTCATAGTGCACTTCAAGCTCCAGCCAGCCCCAAATCATGGGCACACAGGTGCCGAGAGTAGGTCTCTGAACCGTCCCCTGTGGGTCAGCCTTACAGAGCATTGTTTTACCACTGTCCCGTGGTCACCCCCTTGCTGTGTCACGATCCTCCTGAGCAGCTGGGATCGCAGGCACGTTGCTCTTTCAAGCAGGCCTCACTACGTAGCTCAGGCAGGGCAGGAGCTCAGCTTCCTCAGCCTCAGCGTCGGCCTCGATAGGCACTGGGATTACAGATATGCACCCTCGCACTGGCTTCCAGGTCAGGCTGTCACGGAGCCCTGGCCTCCTGTGTGGCTCAGCCTGCAGCACAGAGTCCCAGCAGCACTGGGTTATTTCGTGGCTGGGCCAGGAAATCTGCATTTCTGACAAGTTCCAGGGGCCTCTAGTGTTGCTGGTTGGGAGTCCCACTTCGAGACCTGGAGGACAGGCAGGGCTATGTCTGTCTAGCTCCGTTTCTTACCCACGGATCGTGGGACATAGTAAATGCGCAGGAAACACCTGCTTAACGAGTAGATGGTCATTTATTTCTTGTTCTGCTTGGAAATAATTTTAGTTATAGTCAAAGATCAGCCTTTGATTAGAGTAAAATTTCCTTCCCAGTCAGGCCATTGGGAATACTTGCAGGAAGTGGACGTATGGGGAAGGTTCTAGAGTGACACTTTGTGGACAAGTCAATTAAAATGGGTGGCATCATGTGTGATGTCACTGGGGCTGGGGTGGGGAAGGGCCTGGCAGGGAGCTCCATATCACCCGGACTCTTCTTTCGAACCCTCCTAGCCCTCTTCACTGCCACTCCCTGTTCCAGAAAAGGGAGGGGAGTGCGGTCCCCCGGGGCAGTTGACTCTGAGAGCAAGCCCAGCGAAGGGAAGTGAGAGCGGGCGAGAGATAAGGCAGCCACCCAGGACAGAGATAGACAGCCGCTGGCTGCTCATTAACAGCGCCCGTCAGCAAAGCCTTATCACGTGTTATAAATGCTGCTGTGGATTTTTTAAATTATTGAGAATGGCAGAGGCTGTTAATCATTAGCTTTTATATTGCTAATGCTACGAGATTAGATTTATCTAATTATTTTTCAAGTCAGTCTTTTTTTGCATGTTTGCTATAGGGCATGCGCACTTGCCAGAGACAGAAACAGAAAGAGAAAGGCGAAGTGAGAAAGCGCTCCTCTGGCGGGAGGGCCATGGGTCCCTTCTCCACTCTCCTCTCGAGCTTTGGGTGTTGATGGCCCGCACCCAGTGTGCGCTTCCGGCTGCCAGGTACAGGACCCAAACCATGCAGTAGGCCGTGCGGGATCCAGCCTTAGCCTCCGTGGCATTCGCTGGCCCAGCAAACCAGTCCAGGGCTTTTCCCAGAAACCTTCACCTTTATTTATTCTCTTCATTGTCACATAATGATTCTGACAGGCAGATTTTATAAAAACTGCAAATAAGGAAATGAGGGCACCGGAAGGGGACGCGCCCACAGTCAGACCACGGTTTGCTGTGAGCAGGGGCCATTCCTGGCTCCACGTCCACCCACACGGTGGAGGCCCAGGGTCCGCTTACCCAGAAACGTCTTCATCTCCCTCTGCAGAGGAAGGGCTTGCTGGGAGAAGTCCCGAATCCTCTGGCCCAGCTCAGGGGACACAGCCTCTGGTTTCCGGCACTTCCTGGTTTCACTTCTAGGGGCACAGAAAAGGCAGGGTCCGGTGTCATCCTCCTTATGATGCCCCAGGCTCAGTCAGCCATCTTCTAGAAGGACGTGGGGGACAGGGGGTGCCAGCTCCCACAGGCAGACACGCCTCTTCTAGGATGGACCCCCCTGCCCACTCCTGGGCAGTGCTGAGGGGGTGTGCGTCTCGCTGTACCTGAGTTCCTCTGGGTGTTTACGTGTGGATTTGTGCCCGTGACGTGGCAATGCTGTGGTGTATTCGCATGTCGAGAGCTAGGCACATGGTACATGACTGTGTGCTCGTGTGGGAGAGGGGAAGACAGAGACTCAGTTCTCACCTTATGAGAGTGCTTCTGATGTCCTAGGAGAGAGGGAGAGAGCAGGGACTCAGCTTCCGGTTTCTCCCGCCCACCTTCCTTATGACTAGAAAAGATGAAATACCACATTCCTGGCCATGAACACAAAAACGACGCCAAATCTGGAGTCACACAGAGTGCTAGGTTTTAACAGGCTTTGGGGTTCAGAACTCAACCCGTTTATTTTACGGTCCTAAAATAAAATGATAGAATAACCTGCACCTGATAGAGGCAAAGGTAAACAATACCAAGTCTCCTGTTCTCAGTCCTGCTGTCTGTCTGTCTTTCTCTCTCTTTTCTTTCCTTCTGCCTTTCTTTCTTTTTTCTTTTTCTTTTCTTTTCTTTCTCTCTTTTTTCTTTCTTTCTGCCTTTCTTTCTTTTTTCTTTTGCTTATTTGTTTGCTATAGGGTATGTGTGATGGCCAGAGAGAAAGAGAAAGAGAGAAATCACCCCCCCCCAGGGGAGATGGCTACATCGCAATCCCTTCTCCTCCATTCTCCTGTTGGGGTTTTGGGCAGGCACACAGGCACATACACATGCACACGCACTTGGAGAGTTCTTCAAGTCCCTGGGTCCAGGACTTGAGCCCACAGTTGGCCATGTCAGATCCAGTTGCCTTAACCACCAGGCCACCTGACTGGCCCTCTTTCTTTCTTTCTTTTTAATTGTCAGAGGTGCATGCAGTCGCCAGGGATAGAGGAGAGAAGGAGAGAGGAAGAAGGAGAAAGCAACTCCCAATGGGTCATGGTCGCACCCCAATTCCTTCTGCATTTCTCTGTCTTGGTGGGATATTTTGCATGCATGTGGGTGCATTTCAACTACGGGGGCCTGGATTCAAGCAGTGCAGTCAGCCCGTGAGACCCAGTTCCCTTAGCCACTGGACCACGGGAGCAGCCCTCAAAGTACTGTTTCTACTCCCCTCTACTGTCGGCTCCTCACAAATGCCCTGGGATAGTTAAGGAAAGTATCCTTCCTCTTTTTTTTTTTTTTTGAGAGAGATTTTTTGCTATAGGGCGTGTGCGCTCGCCAGACAGAGAGAGACAGAGAGACAGAAAGCGAGAAATCACCCCCCGGGGGGATGGCCACGCCGCAATCCCTTCTCCTCCATTCTCCTCTCGGGATCTTGGGCATGCACGCACACGCGCCCGGCGTGAGTTTTAAACCACCGGGTCCAGGACACGAACCACAGTCGACTACGTGGGAGTCCAGCGACATAGCCATTACACCAACTGCTGGTCCCCAGGAAAGTATCCTTCCTCTTGAGGGGTGGAAGGGAGCGACAGACACCAACAGCAATGTGACGTGTTGGGGAAGCATGGAGAGTTCAGAGCCCTCTCAGGACAGCGGTGTGAGTGCAGGAGACACGCGTGGACAAGGCAAGGACGCGGGCCTCACAGCAGAGCGTGGCTGGGTGGGGGCTCACCGTCAGCAGCTCCCTGGCTGGCCTCTCGTTCTTCTCCTCCAGTTCTTCGATCAGAGCACTGAACCGGCAGATCTCCCCAGTGACCAGGAAGTCGAACTCATTCTGTTGCTTCACGAGGTCCCCATCCAGCCGCTCCAGCTGTGCCAAGAGGACGCTCTGCTGTTCCTCCAGGAACTGGTTCAGATGTGCGAACTCGGAAATCACCTGCTGCCTCTTGGTGGCCACCTGAGTCTGAGGAGGCAGGAGGAGAGGCCAGGAGGTTTTCCTCTCCTCCTCTCCTCCTCCCCTTCCTCCCCTTCCTCCTTTTCCCTTCTTGTCTTTTTCCTTACTTCACTCCTATCTCCTTCCTGGCCCACATCCACATCCTCCAAGGGTCAGTGGTAAATCCAGACGCGCACACCCACCCTTGCCTGGTCCCCAGGCAGGTCTGGAGCTGTGTCGTGGTTTCCTCTCCACCTGCCGACCCGTTCTGGGAGCTAAGACTGACCAGCCCTGCTCTGCAACCCGTTCTGGGAGCTAGATGCCCGGCCCTGCTCTGCTCCATCTGCTGGGGTTTTCGAAACGAGCAGGCTCAGGGGAGGCACACGGGAAGGTGGTGGAGACCCTGCCAGCGCTGAGCTACTTCACAGGTGCTATTTCACTCATCCTGACAGCAGTTTCATGAGGTGGTGACAATTTTAAATCTCCACGTGACACCTCAGTACACTGAAGTCAGAGTTGCCTGAGTTCTCGGTGTCAGAGTCAGACTCAGAATGACGTCAAAGGCCTACACGCCGTGGTGCCTCCATTTCAGGGGGACACTGGACCCTGGGGAAGGGGGGGCAACCTACCAGGAGGACTTGGATCCTTTTATTTTCTCTTGACTGGATTTCTTGAATCTTCTCTCTCTCTTTTCTTAGACACTTAAGACACTTCTGTATTTGTTCCTGGGGAGAAGAAGCATAAAATATTTGAGAGGGAAAAGTGCTTTGTTAAGGGGCATCATCTCATCCAAACACCTGCCTCGAGGAGCGACAGGACCCAGGGAGGAGGCATTCCTTGGCCGGCAGTGCTGAGCCTGCATCCCCCGACAGCTCTCTCTCTGGGGCTTGTTTCTCCTTTGCTTCGTGCTCCAGGAATTCTAATCAGAACATTCCTCCTTTATCATATGCCATCGGAGGCTGTGACTCCATTTTCTCACTTGGGTCTTTCTCTCTCTCTCTCTTTTTTTTTTTTTTTTTTTTTTTTTGGAGGGTTTTGTTTTAGACTTTTTTTTGGTGGGGGAGAGGTTTTTGCTCGTGCACTCTCCAGAAAGACAGAAAGAGAAATAAAAAGTGAGAAATCACCCCCCAGGGGGGATGGCCACGCCACAATCCCTTCACCTCCATTCTCCTCTCGGGATCTTGGGCACGCATGCACACACGCCTGGCATGAGTTTAAGCCACTGGGTCTGGGACTTGAACTACAGTCAACTACATGGGAATCCAGCAACATAGCCATTGTGCCAACTGCTGGTCCCTATTTGAGTCTTTCTTTAGGCTAAACATCTTCATTTATTTTGCTTCTGGCAAACTTGATATGCCCTTCATTGAAATTATTCCAGTTTGGGCCAGTTTCATGGCCTGGCAGTTAAGACGCTTACATTCCACATGGCTCACCCCGCTGTCTGAGTCATGGCCCTGCCTGCTTGAGAAACACTCCCGGTGCATGTGCGTGTGCGTGTGTGTGTGTTCCAAAATCATCAAAGGAGGGAGAGATGGAGAAGGGGTTGCAGCATGACCATCCTTCATGGGGTGCTTTCTCCATCTCCCTCTCTTCTCTCTCTCTCTCTCTGTCTCTCTCTGGCAAGCACATATACCCTTTGGCAAAATAAAAAAAAATTACTTTAGTTTCCCACATGTCTCAAAGGAAATATATGCAAATAACAACCTTACCTTGTTAATAGAACCAAAAGTGAATAGTTCCAAGTTGCGTGGAGAAATTTGGATAACACAAAAATAACCGATGAATTGCTTTTTTAAAAAAGTTGATTTATTTATTTCATGAGAACGAGAGACAGAAAGCAAAAAAGATAAGCACCCCCAGCAGGTCTCATGCCACGATCCCTGCCCTGCCCTCCCAGACAGCAGGACCGTGAGTGCATGTGAACCCCTCCCAGCACCTACAGGCCTGCAGGGAACCTGGCCGTCATCTCGCGTGCGGGTGCAGCACTGCTGGAGCAGCACGTCGCTGCACTACTGAGCTGGCCCTAAGGAGCTGTTTCTAAAACTATTTGCTCTATAGGACCGCCAGGTGGCATAGAGGTTAAGGGCGCTGCAACCATGGTTCGATTCCCAGACCTGGTGGCTTGCTTTCTCACTTTCCTTCTCTCTGTCCCTCTCTGGTCAAAATAAAATAAATAAATAAAGTTAAAAAAATAATTCTTAAAAACCCCCACAAAAACCTATTTGCTCTAAAGTTAGGAGCACATATACAGGCATTCATGTCCACACGTGTATGTTCAAAAATACACAGAGTACCCCAGGGCTGCACAGAGGCGCAGTGTCAGACGAGGTGCTCTGGGAAGCAGACCGCAGAGCAGGGGGCTGGTCTGGGGCCAGAGGCCTCACTGAGTGTGCTGGGAACACGGGATGCGTGACCCAGGCTGGCCAGGACTCGGGGGAAGCATGGCTTCGATACCCTCTCGGGGATGCTGTACCTCCGTCTCTCTCTCATGCATGGAGTAAACAAACTTTATAAAGTACGTACTGTGCTCTTATCAGGTGTCAACTAAGATATCCACACAGACACCCATTTTACTAAAACACAACGCACAACCACCCAAAATCATCACACAGTCTTTTAATGATAGATAAGATTACCTACAACATACCTTTACCCAACCTGGTGTACTAGGTTGTCGGGAAAATCCTGATGTATTTTTCTATGCAAAAATGTGTCCTGACTTTCCCAATGACCCAATATATAAGCACTAACTTATTCACAAACATGCAGTTACACCTACACATTCAAATACATACTCGGAGCCCCACCTAAACACACCGTACACACTCATAAATACACAGACATTAATGTGTATGCGCATCACCTGTGCAATTATCGCCTCAAACACAAACCACAGACACATTAATGCTTCACACAGACATACACTCAGTTTTTGACCAATAATTCATTCAACAAATACTTTTTTTAAAGAGAGATTTTTGCTATGGTAAACATGCACTTTCCAGAGAGACAGAGACAAACAGAAAATAAGAAATCATCTCCCAGGAGGATGGCCACACTGCAATCCCTTCTCCTCCATTCACCTCTCAGGATCTGGGGCACACATGCACACTCACCCAGCATGAGTTGTTGTTGGTGGTGGCTTTTTCCCTTTAAAGAATTATTTTATTTAACTTTATCCATCTATCTATTTTAATTGACCAGAGAGGGACGGAGAGAGAATAAGTGAGAGAGCAAGCCACTAGGTCCAGGACTCAAACCACGGTCAGTCATGTGGGAGTCCAGCACTTTGAACGACCATGCCACCTGCCAGACCGCTGGCATGAGGTCTGGGACTCGAACTGCAGTCGACTACGTGGGAGTCCAGTGATGTAACCATTACACCATCTGCTGGTCCCTTCATTCAACAAATACTTATTGAACACTTACAATCTGTCATCAAAACATAAAGCATAAAGGCATGATTTTCCCTGCCTGGGCCTGTTGGGCATGTGATCACACAACTGGAGAGAAAGAATTTGAATCCAGGGCGACCCAGAACAATCTACGACTCTGCTGATTCTCTTAGTGCAGTCTGATCCCAGACCCGCCCTGGCATCCCCATTTTCCTACCCTGTAGGGACCGGCTGCCTCCTCCAGGAAGCGCACGGTGTGGGCCCCATGCTCCCCGGCCTCCCGGCAGACCACACACAACTGCATCTCGTCATCCTCACAGAAGAAGTAGACCTTTTCCCCGTGCTCCGGGCAGACGTCCTCCTCTTCCAAGCCCAGCGTGGACACCAGCTTGAGGCGCTCGATGTTCTCCACCACGTTGGCCAGCTGCCAGTTGGGCCGGAAGCTCCCTGGGTGGAAAGGCTCCTTGCAGAGCGGGCAGGTGGGGGACTCCTCAGATTCCGGGCCTGGGATCTCGCAGTAGCGGGTGAGGCAGCCACGGCAGAAGTTGTGCCCACAGTCGATGGTGACCGGCTCCATCAGGGTGCCTTGGCAGATGGGACAGTTGACCTCCTCGGCCAGGCTGCTCACCGAGGCAGCCATGGCCATGCCGGTGCTGCTAGGTCTGTGGGCTCCTCGAGCTTACGTTCTCTGCTTTGTGAGGGAGAAGGGCTGGGGGAGCCGTGAGGACACACAGCGCACACTCACATGCTGGCAGGTGCACACGGCTGGACGCAGGCACATCTTAAATCTGCACTGACACCGGCCTAGTCACTCAGGCCCAGACGAGGCACCCACTTGCACCCCGGCAGTGGGTCTGTCATTCCACTCTCTCGAAGGAGCTAACACACGTCTCCCAACGGCAGAGATGCAGAAATAGCAGAGGGGAGGGAGAGGGCCTCACAGCCCTGCAGAGGTGACCTCAGTTACTCTCCAGACGGGCATCCATGACCTGGGCTTGCTGTTCCTTCCCGCCCGTCCCGAAGCGCTTCCTACAGAAGGGAAGTGGTCGTAGCGCAGCCGTCCACTGTCGGAGGAGATCGCTCTTCTTTTGGGTCTCAGAGTGGTGCTGCTCCCCGGCCTCCCCGCAGCATGGCCAGCTGTCTCCAGGGAGATTGCGGGTATCAGCCAGCCTCGGACTTGCCAGTCAGCTGCCAGGGGAGCATGGGGCCTCAGATAAGGTCCCTGTGCTGGGTGTACACGGCCCAGGCAATTTCAACCGCGATGCCCCAACTGGTCTGCCGTGGGCTTTGATATAGGTTAAAACAGCCCCTGTGTGGGGGAGGAGAAAGAGTCATGGCCGTCATAGATTCATGGTGACGCCACACCTTCCGCTGGCAAAAGCGTGGTAAATATGACCTTATTTATCCCTCCCGTCTGCTCTGAAATGCTGGCGCTGTTCTTGATAGACGCTCCACTTTGTAAATGAGAAAGCTGAGGCTCTGCCAGCTTATTTAGCTCATACACAAGTAAGGAGGTCCGTGACTGTAACTTGCAATCAGATCTTGGTCTTCCAGCAACGCTGTCCAGCAGCAATGCAATCCAAGCCATGCATGCACTAGAAATTTGCTAGCAGCTCTATAAAAAAAGTAGCTAGGAACAGGAGAGATTAATGTTAATATTTTATTTAGTCCCACATTTCCAAATTCTCATTATCCACATACACTTCGTATAAAAAGTCATTAATTCAATGGCTTACATTTCTTTTTATCTGTGCCAAGGTTTTGGAATCCGGTGAGTACTTTACTCACATAGCATGTCTCTTCAAACTGGCCACATTTCTATTTCTTTTTTTATAATTGTTTCATTTAACTTTATTTATTTGTTTATTTTAATTTGACCAGAGAGGGACAGAGTGAGAGAGAGAGAGTGAGAAAGCAAGCTGCCAGGTCCAGAACTCAAACCATGGTTAGCCATGTGGAAATCCAGCACCCTTAACCACCATGCCACCTGCTGGCTCCCCAAACTGGCTCACATTTCTATGCTCTGGAGCCATGTGTCACTTCAGGGCTGTGCTCTCGGGTGAGGGCAGGGAGGGAAGATGATACCCAAAGTAGCTGCAGTAAGAAGGGTGCACCAGGGGCCACTCAGGGGGCCTGGTGGTTAGGGCAGTTGGATTCCACATGGCCAACAGTTTAGTTCGAGTCCCCACACCCAGTGACTTGAATACACACTGGGTGTGTGTGTGTCGGTGCCCAAAGCTCCCAGAGAAGAACAGAGGACAAGGAATTGCAGTGTGGCCATCTCTACCATGAGGCGATTTTTCACTTTCCCTTTCTCTCTCTCTAGCAAACACATGTACCCTAAGGAAAAAATAAATAAAAGAAGAAAGAAAAGGAAGAAGAAAGGAACAGAAAGAAAGAGAAGGGAAGAAAGAGAAAGAAAGGAAAAAGAAAAAGGAAAGAAAAGAAGAAAGAAAAAGACAGACAGGCAGACAAGGTCAGGGAAGCAGCAGCGAGGCGCGGAAGGAGCCCTGCTCGTGCCTACAGAGGACAGATGAAGAGCCGCCACTGCTTGAGCTTAGTCCTGGCTCGAGCGCTGGAAAAGCACAGGACTTGAATCCAGGAGGCCGGGGTCGTCCCCAGGCTTGCGGCTTCCTAGCTCTGTGACCTTCAGAAAGTGACTTTACCTTTCAGTTTACATTTCCTTCTCTGTAAAATGAAGGTAATACCTGCCCCGAGGGGTTATTATTAGAATTGAGTATAACAGTAAGAAATTACTAAGCCCTAGGTAAACGGGGTTAAATCTGTTTATTTTTAGTTATTTATTTTTGTTTACCTTTATTTTTAGTTATTCATTCCATGAGTGAGAGAGCATACGCAGGTGAGAAAGACGGGGATGGGGTACAGCACCTCTGTCAGGGCCTTGCCACTGCAGCCCACCCCCAGCCTCAGCCGGCCTGGACCGTAGACATAAGCTGCCCATCAAATTTGGGGAGATCTCTGGATATGAACTGGCAACCTTCCCACCTACAGCATAAAAATAAAATTGCACTCCACTGTTATGCATACTACAGTGGGACAGTGTTGCTCAGTGGTGAGAAATACAGAAATATAGGAAAGGCCAGCACCAGCAGAGGAGGGCAGGTGAGCAGAGGAGGGCAGAGGAGGGCAGGTGAGCAGAGGAGGGCAGAGGAGGGAGGGCAGGTGAGCAGAGGAGGGCAGAGGAGGGAGGGCAGGTGAGCAGAGGAGGGGCGCTCATGATCAGTCCTCCCACAGTCGACCTGCAGCCTCCAAACAATCCGCCAGAGTCTCCGGAAGTCAGTCACCTGCTGCCATGTGGACTTTGACATTGCAGGCATGTTTCACAGCCTGAGGTTTATGGCTCCCACCTGCCCACTGTGACCGGAAGCACCTCCTCCCCACCCCACTGTGGTGGAGAGATTCCAGGAAACCCTGTCTCCCTGTGACCTCATGGTGTGCTCCACTCCCCACCCCTGGGACCAGGAGCAGCCAGAGGGGTGGGAGCCGGCGTGCTTGGCTGTCCCTGAGACGTGCTGGGTGAGTCAAGACCCCGGAGTTTGGACTGCTCACCTGAAGGGCGGTGGCCAGCGCTCTGGAGAGCACTGGGGCGGGGCCAGGTGGCTTCCCAGCGCTGACATCCTGCCCTTCTCTCCCGTGTGACTCATTTAAAAGGGACTCCATTTCAGACAGGAGATTCGTGTGGACCAAAGCAGAGGCCGGAGCGGAGGGTCTGGGGAAGGGACCGTGATGCCCTCAACCCCCTCCCTGCAGGCGGGCCACGAGGGGGCCACTTGTGCTGCCTGCTCGGGGCCCCTGGAGAATGCAGTGACGGGCCCCTGTGGGCACACCCTCTGCCGGCTCTGCCTGTCCCCGCCCCCCCAGATGGGGGCCCAGCCCTCCAGCAGGGCCCTGCTCTGCCCTCTCTGCGAGGACAGGGACGAGGAGCCGGCGGAGACCCCGCTGGCCCCTGTGCCCCTGGGCCCCCTGGGGGAGACTTGCTGTGAGGAGCACGGCGAGAAGATCTACTTCTTCTGCGAGAACGATGCCGAGCTCCTCTGTGTGTTCTGCCGCGAGGGTCCCTGCCACCAGGACCACGCCGTGGGCTTCCTGGACGAGGCCATTCAGCCCTACCGGGTAAGGAGTGTGAGGGGAGGGGGTGGCTCTGGGTGAAGCTCACTCCCAGGCTGCTGGGGACATGGCTGCACCTGGATGTGGGGAGCTCATCTTAGGGGGTTTCAGCTCCAGCCCTCAGAAGCCCCCCGGGGGATGGAGCACAAGGAGCTATAGCCATGGCCGCCTCTCTGCAGAGAGCCAGCCCAGAGCAGAGACTCCCCTGCAGGTTTCAGGCAGTGTGGACTTGCTCTCTCAGGGTCCCGGCTGGGTAGGGGACTTACCAAGGCCCTGGCCACGGGGTACAGAGGGAGGAGTGGAGCCAGGAAGGGCGGCATGCAAGCGTGGCTCTTCTTCCCGAGAAAGGGTAGGGCGGCAGTGTTCCAGCAGTGTGAGAATTTTCCATCCGGTCTTAGGGACATCCTCATTCCTTTCTGCCTCTTGTCATCAGTCACCTGGAGGTGGCCGCCTCAGGAATATCTCTTGAACCTTTAACTCTGCCTACCCCCACAGCCAGGCTCCCCATCTCTCACCCCAGCTTTGCACAGCCTCCCGCACTCCCTGTCCTTAGTCTCGTCCTTCCCAGGCACCTTCCACTCTGCTTGGAGGTGGCTCTTCCTGAAACACAAAGTCGATCATGTCACTCCACTGCTCGAAATCCTTCCCTGGGGCCCAAGGTAAGCCCAAGGCCTTTAACAAGGTCAAGGCCCATGCAGTCGGGATCCTGCCCTCCCGTGCAGTCTTACCCTCAGCCACTCTGATCAAGGCACCACGTGTCCAGCCAGACTGAACCGTTCCTGCTGTTTCCTAACTACCTCATTCTTTTCTGCTTTTAATACTTTTTGCATAGTTTCGTTCTCTTTCTCTCTCTCTCTCTCCCTCGTGCTGTTTTAACCATTTGTAAAAGCATGCAGTTTAGGGGCATTAAGTCCTTTCCTCTTTCTCTCTACCCAACAGGAAATTAATCTTTCTTTTCTTTTTTGGAGAGATTTTTGCTATAGGGTACATGCGCTCGCCAGCCAGACAGAGAAAGAGAGACAGAAAGTGAGAAATCAGGGGGGATGGCCGCGCCGCAATCCCTTCTCCTCCATTCTCCTCTCGGGATCTTGGGCATGCACGTACACACGCCCGGCGTGAGTTTTAAGCCACCGGGTCCAAGACACAAACCGCAGTCGACTACATGGGAGTCCAGCGACATAGCCATTACGCTAACTGCTGGTCCCAGGAAGTGAATCTTTCAAGGCCCACTGTAAATGTTTTCTGTTTCCTAAAGCCTTTAGCCTTGCAGGCAGGACTGTCCCGTCCCCACCTCACTGTGCACACCTCGACTACGACACTGGTCTGTCTCTCGATAGTTAATCACTCATGACTGACGCCTGCCCTTGAGGGTGATCTCTTCAGGAACGAGGACTGCATCTCTTTCCCCTCTCGATCCCTCAGCCCTCAACAGCGTGCCTGGAATATGGTGGCAGTTCCTATTTGTGAGCTGACTTATTAACTCAGCCACCTCTTTCTGACCATTCCTCCCCACAGGATCGTCTCAGGAGCCGACTGGAAGCTCTGAGTGTGGAGAGAGATGCAATCGAGGACTTAAAGTGTCGAGAAGACCAGAAGCTCCACGTGCTTCTGGTAAAAGCCACACCATGGGCCATTCTCCTTTGGGGGTTCTCTCTAGAGACGCTGGGCAGCTGTGGCCTGGTATCTGTTCTGGCTGGAAAGGACTGGAAAGTTTTTGGAATGAGAATTCACCTTCCTGCTGCTGCACCCAAAGCATTTGAGGTTCAGACTATCAGAGCTGGAAGAGGTTCTGAAGCCTTCTAATCCCAAATCCTTCATATTCGCCATTTTTTATTACACAGAGCAGAAAATTGTGGTCCAGAAAGCCATGTTCCCAAAGTCATATGGCAAAGCCCAAGCGCATCGTGAAATGCCTAGGCTCTGGGCCCATTGATCTCCCCACCCCGGCCGCCTTCCTGAAAGCATCACCTTCTTAGGGGGAGCTTGGGGTCAGAAGGAGCATAGCAGTGTCTGGAGTCAAACCTGACCAAAAGGCTGCCCCTGAGGATGGCAGGCTGGTAGTAACATATATTTGGCTCCCTCCTCCCTCTTTTTTATGCTACAAAGTTATCAAGGAGGCAATGTGCAACGTGGGACTTTTTGTACCTTGACCAAGGAGCTAGAGCGTTGGAGGATAAGATCTCTCTCCGGTATCTCTCAACTCCCATGAAAGAAGGCCCTGTAGAATGCAACCTCGGCAGCTAAGATCAACAACACACACTCTTCCCAACACAACTCTAAGTTGTGTTGATTCTAAACAACTTCTTTTTGTCATAAAGGATACTAAGAATGTCTATAATCATTTCCACCTAACGCTAGGGAAGACATAGTAGGGTTAAGTTGGATTTTGAAAAGTGAAACATGGTTCTGAAGGCATAATGTAGCATTATTATTAAAATTTCTAGTTAAGACAGTAGCACAACCCTCAGCTTTAGTAAGGTCATCCACTCTAAGATCTACCTACTTGTACTGTAGTATTACTGGGAGCAATGAGTCTTGGACCCTCTCCCTCTTAATGGAGATGGTCCTTAATATAGATGGTCCTCCTGGAAGCCAGGCTGTGAGCCTCTCCCTAATCATGTCTGTCTTTCTATCCCTTGCAGACTCAGATTGAAAGCAAGAAGCAACAGGTAGAAGCAGCTTTTGAGAGCCTACAGCAGGAGCTGGGCAGACAGCAGCGCCTCCTGTTGGCGAGGCTGAGGGAGCTGGAGGAGCAGATCTGGAGGGAGAGGGACGACTACATCTCAAAGGTCTCTGAGGAGGTGGCCCGGCTTGGAGCCCAGGTCAAGGAGCTGGAGGAGAAGTGTCAGCAGCCAGCAAGTGAGCTTCTGCAAGTGAGAGACACCACCACCTCACGGGGTAGAAGAGGGGTTCCACAGGGAAGAGGCACCGTGCAGTGGGCTGGAAGATGCCGAGAGGGAAGAGGGAGGGGGATTATCTCTAATCGTAGGGAGTCATGGTTAGCTGGTTCCTCTTGTCCAGAGAGGTTATGGAAATGCAGACCCCAACAAGCTGGAGTCTTGCCCAGGTCATATTAAGGACTTTGGGGGTCAGACCGTCTTGAATTTGAGCATTGACTCCACTCATTATGTGACTTGGACAAGTCTCTTAACCTCTCTGAACATGGAAATAACAATAGCACCTCACTCATAGGGTTGTATTTAAGTTGACCAGAGAAAAACAGAAAGAGAGAGGGGAAGTGAGAAAGCAAGCCATCAGGCCCGGGACTTGAACCACAGTCAGTCATGTGGAAGTCCAGAGCCTTTAACCACCACGCCACCTGCCGGCCCATCTCCACCATCCCTTAACTGTGGAGACAGAACCAACCCCAGGACAAGGCAGAGACAGAGGAAACAGCCCAAATGAACTGACTGCAGAGGCCCACGTTCATAGGGAAACATGATGTAAAAGAAGGTCTATGCGTAGGTCATTAAATAGACACAACTTTCCAGAGGAAGAGGGTTTTGAACTCATATTTTAAGGAAAGAAGGATGCACAGATCCCCTGATGGTAAGGACATGTGGAAACTAAGGCATGTTCTTGTGTTTCTTTTGTAGGATGTCAGAGTCAACCAGAGCAGGTAGGGCCCCCCCCCAGTCCCACGCCTCCACATGCTACATCAGGCACTCGCTGCCGCCCTTCTCCTGTGGATAGCTACCCAGAAAAGCAAAAGCGCTGCTCATGTACTCACACATAAACGAACACGCCAAACTTAAAGGGTCAGTTATAAAGGCTCACATTGTAGATGATTGGTTGGTACTCGAAACACATTTTTTCTTCTAGACATAAAGTTATAAATAATAGTCATTTTTTTTTTTTGAGAGGTTTTTGCTATAGGGCACGTGCGCTTGCCAGAAAGACAGAGAGAGACATAGAGACAGAAAGCGAGAAATCACCCCCCCGGGGGGGTGGCCATGCTGGACTCGAACCGCAGTCGACTACATGGGAGTCCAGTGAATAATAGTCATGTTTTTAGGCTGAGCCAGGAACACCTGTTAATCCATGAAATTATTCATACTTGAGTCAGTATCTAACACCATTCAGAAGGTAACTTGAAGGGAAATAGTTTCTATAGATGATAAGCGGGGAACCTGGAATGTTCTTTCACTCGCGGTTCCCGCTCAACTTCTCCTGTTTCCTTCTGAATTTTCAAATGCACCTGTAAAAGGACAGCTACCAGAAGCTGGGAGGCATTGTAAATTCTGCTCCTTTTTTTTTTTGGAGAGATTTTCACTGTAGGGCGCGTGCGCTCGCCAGACAGACAGAGAGAGACATAGAGACAGAAAGCGACACACGCGCCCGGTGTGAGTTTTAAGCCACCGGGTCCAGGACACCAACCGCGGTCGACTACGTGGGAGTCCAGCGACATAGCCATTACGCTAACTGCTGGTTCCCAATTCTGTTCCTTTCTTCTCTGCCCCTTCCATGAGATGCGAGGAGACATAGTGACATAAAGACTTCTTGTCCAATCACGTAGAAGAAAAAACTTAGCTGCCCGTGACATGTCTTCACACATGCTTTTCAAAGAGTGTTGAAGATTTAGATACAGTCGGGCTTGGAGGTGTGGTCTGATGAGGAAAGCGAGACTGAGGGGGGCCACGTTCTTGCTCAAGGTCTCCTAGCTGGTGACTAACAAAGACTGAGCTGAGCCCTGAATCAGGAACGTTTTCACTGTGATATGTATTTTCTTTCATTTCCTTTTTCTTTGCTCCTACTGGCTTTTCCCATATAAAGATGAGTACTGAGTTAGAATGGTTTCATAAGTTTTTCAAATGGTTGCCTATTGCCTTCTAGAAGTGAACAGGGGTAATGACCTCTGCCCCTTTCAGCCACCACAGACCCTGCCATTCTCTTAAAAGGCCTATCTCCAAGTGGTTACAATTAGGTCTTTTTTTATTTAAAGATTTTATTTAATTGTATTTATTATTATTGTTATTTTTTTATTTGATGAGAGAGGGAGAAAAAAAAAAAAAAAAGCCACCAGGTCCAGGACTCAAACCATGGTCGGCCATGTGGGAGTCCAGTGCCTCAACCACCACCCCACCTGCCGGCCCCAATTACGTCTTCTTAGCTCTAACGGAAATGCTGCTCGCCTTAGTAACGATACATTTCCAGCAAAGGTAAAGCTCTCTCCTCTAACTGCTCACCACAGACACCAAGACCATTCTTTAGTCTGATCTTAGCCTCATTCCGATACTATTTTGGAATTTGGACCTAACTGGTTACCAACTTGTCTGAAGGTGTGAGATGAAGACTTTCGTGAGTCCAGAGGCCATTTCTCCTGAGCTTGTAAAAAAGATCCGCAACCTCCACAGGATGATCCTCGCCCTCCCAGAGATGATGGAGACCTTCTCAGGTAGAGGGGAAGGGGCTGCGTGGGTCCCCACTCCCATAGTTTTCTTTCCCATCTTCTTTCCCCCCTCCTTCCCACCCTGACTCAGAGGCCTCCCCCTCCCCAAGCCTTCCCTTAGTGACCCCTCTCCACTCATGGGACCTCCCACTTCCAAGGACAGTAGACCATAGCAGAGGCTGAGCCTCCTTCCTGTCCCCACCCCTCTCCTCACACCCTACCCAGGACAGCCTGCCCTCGGAGTGCTGTAGAAATACTAAGTCAGATCTCTCTGTCCATTTCTACTTCCCTCAGAAAAGTTGACGCTTCACCTGGAAACAGATTCAGGTAAACAGTGGGGGGTGGGGTGGGGAGCCATCCTTTCATCCACCCATTTAATCCCTGGCAGCAAACAAAGCCATTCCATCTTGGATTCCGGATGGCTTGGGTCCTCTGGTCTGGCTAGCTTTGAGAGCTGAGCATGTTAGTTGTCCCACCATTTTTTCATCTATAAAATTAAATTTATAAATAGGATCTACTCCCTAAGTAGCTGCAATTAATGTTAGTTACTTGTATAAATATCATTCATTTAAGTAAGTTTGTCAAATAGGGCAAACCCTGGTTTGATAATTTATCATGATTTAGCAAACCCTCGTTTTTCACCTAGCATCTTGGAAGACTACAATTTAAAAGTAAATGCTAATTTTTTTGAAAAATTGTACAGTATTTGTTCAAGTCAATAGTCTTGCATGATGCTGGATAAATTTTCATAAGTGTCACCTTATTTTGACATATCAACAGATCGGAGCTTTTTAAACTTAGCCTAGAGATCCCGTTACAATGCAGGCCGGCTTAGCAGGTCTGAGAGGGGCCCAAGATCCCGCGTTTCTAACCAGTTCCGGGCGGTGCTGGTCGGCCCACCGTATTTTGTGAGCTGTCCTGTCTGTTCGGGGGAGGGGCCGCCGGGGTGCTCTCGGCACACGGCACCCCGTTGGGTCCCCGCTAGCTCGGTCGCGCCCGCCTCCTCCCCGCAGGGGCCATCACTCTGGATCCTCAGACCGCCAGCCGCAGCCTGGTCCTCTCCGAAGACCGGAGGTCGGTGCGGTACACGCGGCAGAAGCAGAACGTGCCCGACAGCCCCCGGCGCTTCGACGGGCTCCCGGCGGTGCTGGGCTCGCGCGGCTTCTCCTCGGGGCGCCACCGCTGGCAGGTGGCGGTGCAGCTGGGCGACGGCGGCGGCTGCACGCTGGGCGTGGCCGCGGCGGAGGTGAGGCGGAAAGGCGAGGTGCGGCTGAGCGCCGACGAGGGCGTCTGGGCGGTCATCCTCTCGCACCAGCAGTGCTGGGCCAGCACCGCCGCGGGCACCGACCTGCCGCTGAGCGAGATCCCGCGCCGCGTGGAGGTGGCCCTGGACTACGAGGCCGGACTCGTGAGCCTCCTGAGCGCCGAGACCCAGGCCCACATCTTCACCTTCACGGCCGCCTTCTCCGGCACGGTCTTTCCTTTCTTCGCCGTCTGGAAAAAGGGCTCCTGCCTTACTCTGCAGGGCTGAGGCGGGGCCTGCGCAGGGCGTGGAGCGGACGCCCGGCGCCCGGGACCCCGCTTCGCCCCCGGCCAGCGCGAGGCCCGGTGCGGCTGCAGGACGCGGCCTCTCCGAGCCCCGAACACCGGCCGGCTGCACTTTATGGATCTCGTACCCTTCCGCTCCCTGGCGTCCTGAGACAGCCGGGAAGCTCGAGCGGGGAGCGGAGGTAGGCTAGGCTGTGCCAGGACACGGGTGAGACTGGGAGCCAGCGTGCATTTGAAAGGAAAAAAAAAAATCTAAAATACAGATGTCAACGTTTTGGGGCCAGCAGGTGGTGTAATGGTTAACCTGGCCTCCCACGTGGCCGACGGCAGTTTGAAAATCCCACTGGGCACATGTGCGTGGGCGCCTTAAAACCCCAGGAGGAGAATGGAGAAGGGATTGCTGCGAGGCCATCCCTCCTGGGGGGTGATTTCTCACTTCCCCTCTCGCTGTCTGTGTTTTTTGGCAAGCGCATGCTCCCTATGGCAAAAACCTTCAAAAAAATTTAAAAGTTTCATAATTATTATCGTGGGAAAAAAACAGTACTTCTTGGACTTGCACTAATTTATACAGTTGGGGTTTATTTTGACACACACTGGAGATGCCTTTACCTTTGTAGGGGTTAGGGCCTCTTTGTCAGCCCTGGGGTGGGAAGGAACCCCAAGAGCCCTTCCTGTCTGACTCTTTAGCCTTGTAGAGAATGTCCCAATAAAGCGTGTGACCTCAGACCTCTGATTTCCGGCTCGTTAGTGCTGACGGGGCTGGGGGAAAGGCAGCGCAATCTGTCTGTGGTGAGAACGGGCTGAGGTGGGGATGGGCCCCTGAGCCCTCTGACCAACACACAAAGCTGGCCCTACTTCATTCAGGTCCACGTGATGACAGGGGCCATTACCAGACCCCTGTGTAATAAGATGACGCTTTTGTTCAGATCTAACTTCTCAGCGTCTGTTATTATTACTACTGTTATTATCTGGACACAGAAACAGACCTCATGTTAAAATAACCTTACAAAGCAAGGTATGAATCCTCGAAGTTCCCTCTACCACCATCCTTTCTGGATCCAACTTTTTCTTTTCAAGTTTTGATATACAGAAGTCTGCCCCATTCCCAATTCAGGTTCCCTCCAGCATGAGATGATGTTTTTTTTACAAGAGCACTGTAGTGCATGAGCCCTGCTCAAGTGTGGACCGGATGTCTTTAAGGCACGCTAAATGCTTGCACTAAGAGTGGATGGGCCAGCAGGTGGCATGGTGGTTATAGACACTGGACTCCCATAAGCCAACTGCGGTTCAAGTCTTGAACCTGGTGGCTTGCTTTCTCACTTTCCCTCTCTCTCTCTGGTCAAATTGAAAAACAATAAATAAAGGTAATTTTTTTTTTAAAGGAGTGGATTTAAAAAAAAAAAAGGAGTGTATTGTATTACAAAGTTGTAACATGAATCTGGGATGTGAATAATTACTCCTAATTCAACTGTTGGGCAAATCGAGGTCCTTGATACAAAAGAAACCAGAGGACTGGGCCAACAGGTAGCATAGTGGTTAAGGTGCTGGGCTCCCACAAGGCCAACCATAGTTCGAGTCCCAGACCTGGCGGCTTGAAACTCATGCCAGGTGCAAGTGTGTGTGTGCCCAAAATCTGAGAGAATGGAGGAAAAGGGGCTGTGGAGTGGCCATCCTCCTGAGAACTGGGGGTGCTTTCTCACTTTCTCCCTCTGTCTCTCTGATAAGTGCATATGCCCTATAGCAAAATTATCTAAAGAAAAAAAAAAGAAAAGAAACCAGAGGGCTTTGGAGTTCCTTCTGACCACACTGTGGTTAGCAGGACTACTTTGCGTCTGATCTTGAAAGAAACCAAGCAGCCTGGCAGCCCAGCTTCGCAGTGGCAGTAGCGGTAGTGACGGCAGTAGTAGTATTGCCTGCGTTTACTATAGAGGTAGTATATGCTCATGGTTAAAAAAATCAACAATTTTCCAAATGTAGGTGAAAAACTTCTCCTAATATCTACTCAACACTTCCCCTTGTCTCTTCCCATGGTCAGTTTTATGGGTATTCTGCCAGTTTAAAATATGTCGTTTTATTTTTTATACAAATGCGATTATACTGTACTTTTTTTCAATCCTTCCTCAAAAGAAAACTATATGCAACACAGGCCTATTGTAACACTTGTAAAATACCACAGATTATAAAGTTAAAAGGGCTTCATTTTTTTGTTTTTCAAAAATACCCATCGTCCATGTGTTAGCAATTGTGAATAATGCTACAGTAAAATATACTCCCATTGCATGTTAAGTAAAACATAAAATCGGGAGCAGCAGTTAGCTTAATGGCTATGTCGCTGGACTCCCACGTAGTCGACTGCAGTTCGAGTCCTGGACCCGGTGGCTTAAACTCACACTGGGTGCGTGTGTGTGTGTGTGCCCAAGATCCCGAGAAGAGAATGGAGAAGGGATTGCGGCGTGGCCATCCCCCCTGGGGGGTGATTTCTCGCTTTCTGTCTCTCTGTCTGGCAAGCGCACACACCCTACAGCAAAAACCTGTCCAAAAAAATCCACAAAAAACAACTGAGCCACAAGTTATTATTGGTCTGTTTAAATATAGTTTTGCTCCAGGGTGCTTGTGCTCGGAGGGGGGAAGAGTGAGAAATCACACCCCAAGGAGTCTGACCACTCTGCAATCCTTTCTCTTCCATCTTCCTCTACGGACTTCAGGCACACACGCACACACATCTGGTGTTTCTTAAGCCACCAGGTCTGGACTTGAACTATACAGTCATCCCTGTAGGACCCAGCACTTAACCTCCACGCCACCTGCCGCGCCTCTCCAGTACTTCCGGAGTGGGTCAGATAAATTAGGAGTGTTATGTGTCTGGAGATTCTATGCCCAAACTCCTAAAGTTTAGGAGTGTCCAAGACCGCAGGGAGGGCTGGGAGCTTCCTGGAGAAAAAGCGAAGGAAATGATCCACTTGGTGGCCCAGCTGGAGAGTTCACTGAGGAAGTCTGCGTTGCTGTTTGTGATGTAAAACCATCCTGTTTCCCCTGCAGGATGGTTTTCTAAGTGTAGCTACTATCAGATGCACATGGGAGTGCTGAGTTCTGTCCACCGCACCACTGGACAGTAAGCAAAAGCAGACCCTACAAAAGAACCACCAGCCTTCCAGGCTGCTGGATTACGTGAGGAGCAGTCTCACCAAGGTGTTCCAGAGAATGAGGGGGGGTAGGGGGTACAGTTGTAAGGCCCCATGTGGGGGCTCTAAGGGAATCTCTCCAAAGTCTAAAAGCTAATTACAATTGGGGGGGGGGCGCTCCAGGCTGGGAGCCTCAGCGATGAAGGGTCTCTGGCCCACTAGCTTTGCTCTGCATGGGGGCCATTCGAACTTCTGTCTACAAATAAGCTCGCTGGCTTTACTCACGCCATTTATTTCCCCTCTCACTTTCAGTTCTATTTGAGGACGTCCAGTGTAAAGCTTAGATTCCACCATCCTCCTCGGTTCATTATATCCACCCCATTTTAGTATACTTCCTTTTGGTAAAGAACCTCTAGGTTACCTCCATGTGCCAATGACAGCAACACTGTCTTACAACTACGTATCTCTCCCTCTGAACCTGTGGCAGAATCTAAGATAAATTCCAGGAAGGGACGGCTGGTATTTGCACACTGAATTTCCTTAAGTATCATCAGTTGCTCCCAGCATGACCGTAGCTATTGACACTTCCACCAGGGAGGCGTGGAGATTCCAGTTCTTGTGTACAAACCAGCCATCGGTGCCATCCAACTTGCTAATTTCTAAAAACTTGGTAACTATAAAGCGTTCCCTCACTACTGCTTTTGTCTTTTTCTGACCACCTATGAGGTTGAGGATCTCTTCTAAAATGTGCTATGGCTTATGCTATTTTTCAGTTTTCTTCCATTGACTTCCAGGAATTTTGTGCTTATACTAGACATCATTAAAAGAAAAGATTTAGACAGATCTAATTTTAGTAGAGTTTAACTGAACCAAAAACGATTCACAAATTAGGCAGCCCCAGAATGGCCTCTGAGGAACTCAGACAGGCTGGATGGTCCAATACCTTTACCTGCAGGAAAAGGAAAGCGACATAAATGGAAGTGGGGGAAATGAGGTGAGAAGCGGCTGCACGGTCACAGCCTGGCGTCTGCCTCTGTGAACAGCTGTCTGTGGTTGCCTGCAGCGTGGTTGCTGTGATTGGCTACGACTCACGACTCACGTATTTGTTAAGGAAGCAGACTCCCAAGTGAGGTTGTGGTTTGCTTCCAGGAATTCGAGTATGAGTGTGGAGGCCATCTCAGGCCCGTATTGTTTGGTTTAACAATATTAATTGCTTGATCATTTTAGAAATGAAAATATCGCCCACTTATTAACATTGACCATGGTATTGTTCAACAGAAATCTTGATTTTTGGTAATAAAAATTACACTTTGTAGTTTGTTTTTACGATTTTTTCTTCTTTTTTATAGGTTTTTGCCACAGGGCACATACTTTTGCCAGAGAAACACAAAAAGAGAAAGTGCGAAATCATCCCCCTCAGGGAGAATGGCTACACCAAAATCCCTTCTTCTCCATCTTCTCGGGATTTTGGTCATGCATGCACACACGCCTGGAGTGATTTTCAAACTGCCAGGTCTGGAACTAACTGTGGTGGGCCAAGTGGGAATCCAGTGCTTAGCCACCATGCCGCCTGCTGGCTGGCCCATGCTTTTAAGGTCTTTGTAACCAACAACGAAATCATCGATATGTACATACATGTGTGTATGTGTGTGTTTGTGTTTCCTCTAGTTCTATAAGTTTTATGTCCTCTAATTTTGAAATGATTTTGAAATTTTTTCCGTAGAACAATTTGGCAATATCTTGTAACACACACTGCCTTTGGCCCAGAAATTCTCCCTCTGAAGAAAGTTCACACATGTGCACATGATACACACTCAGAGTGATACAGCACAGTTTCAGTTACGGAATGGATAATAAATCGTATATTCATAACACACCACTATACAAAACTTAAAATGAATCAGTCACATCTGCTTGTATCCTCATGGGCATATTTAAAAAATACACTCTTGTACCACAAAACAAGTTTAAATTATGAGTGACTTTCAAACTGCCAGGTCTGGAACTAACTGTGGTGGGCCAAGTGGGAATCCAGTGCTTAGCCACCATGCCGCCTGCTGGCCCATGCTTTTAAGGTCTTTGTAACCAACAACGAAATCATCAATATGTACATACATGTGTGTATGTGTGTGTTTGTGTTTCCTCTAGTTCTATAAGTT